GGGTTTATTGGTTTAGGGCTTTAGGGGTTTGGGGGTTTAGGGGTTTAGGTTTTCGGGTTTAGGGTTTGCCCTTATAGAAACCCTGTAGAGACCCTGAAAGATCCCTTAAAGGAGCCCTGAAATGTTTCTTCGCGGCTTTGGTTTTTCTCACATTCCAAGCCCGAAGGGGGGTGCAGAAGCAAGAATATGCTCTGGGTTTCGGATACCCTTGGTTCTTGATCCATCACATCCCGACGATCTCCGCATCACATATTCTCTCTAAGCCCTACACCCTAAACCCTCAACCCTTGGTTCGGACAGCTAGGCTTAAGAGGGACCTTGAAACGAAGGCACATGATGGGGAGTGTGCTCGGTTCTTGGTTAAGATAGAAGCCCAAATAGTTACCAATATTATTCATTAGGGTTCCTCAGTGTAATTAGGGTTCAGGGTTTAGGGTTTTGGAGGTTCCTTATTACAACTATCATTATACTATAAAGGAGCCCAACACCCTATGTTAATTATACAGGCCCCTACATTACACCATGCTGGCTTGTGCAACCCGGCTATGACAGCGAATTTGAAGGCGACCTCGGGTCGAAAGCAAGCTTTCACACCACTGGGACCACCCATAGTATACCATGGTATCTTATCGTGTATTGTTCTTTGTATACGATAGTTGCATTCACTCTGTCCAGAGCGAATAACTTCTTGTGACAGGGTTGGGAAGATGCGGGCCTCTAGGTCTTTTCAGGGTTCCGGGCTTTGAGGCAGCCGATGTCAGCATTTGCGGGCGCACGCCGTCAGATTTCAGCAAAGGATGCTGGGCTTCGACTAGCTTTCCGAAGCCCTCGGCATCCGCATGAGAACTGCGTTTTGTGCTGAGGTTAGCCGAAGATGCGGAAGAGGGGGAGGAGCAGGCCATCCGGATTGAAGTTTCTGGCTTTGTTGACCCGCAGTATTTGAGTCTCCATTCGTGGTTTGGTAGAGTTTAAAGTCAGCCCTTGTGGCACATATCAAAAAAGAGCACGGGGAGAAGGCAGCCAAAGGCCACAAACACTAAACCTTCAGCTCTAAATCCTAAACCCTTAACCCTAAACCCTAAACGCTAAACCTTAGCCATGTGGCTGGTGACGCTGATTTCATTTGATCACTCCCGGAGGTTGGGAAGCGCCAGGCCCTTACAGCCGTTTGAGACTGTGGTTTTGTATGGAAAAGAAATTTATGGCATAGTATAGTATGGTATAGCATATGGTACAGTCTAGAGTATAGTCTATGGCTTAGTATATGGGGGTTGCCCAAAACAGGGGACCCTAATATAGTACCCTAAATAATAGGATCCTTATTAAGGAGCCCAAAATACGGTACCCCTTATGTCGGAAACTCGCAAAAACTTTAGTAGATAGCAGTATACCCTCAAGCCCCAAGCTTGTCTCGACCTCAAACCTTCGAAAGCCCTAAACCGTAAACCCGTAAACCCTGAACCCTGAACCCCTAAACCCTAAACCCAAAACCCCCAAACCTTCGAAACCTCGATGCAGGAGTGCTTCGAGCTTCGGGACCAGAACCGGCCGGACCCTCGCAGAAGAGAGCTGTTCCCAGAGTATATCACAGTATATTATAGTATATTTGTAGGATACTATAATGCATTATCGTCTGTAGTATAGTACAATGCATTATAGTTTGTTATAGTATATTGGAGTATGCTATAGTATGTGGTAGTACATACATACATACATACATACATACATACATACATACATACCTACGTACATACATACATACATACATACATACATACATACATACATACATACATACATACGCGCAAATGGCTATGTTTTGGTATCGTCTAGAATTTAATGCTATATATTGCATACAGTATATGGCGGGCGCGGGATTCCAGACGCCCCTCTTTTCCCGCATTGTCTTGTGTTTCCCACCTTACTGGGGGTCCTTACAGACTCCATACAAGTTCTGCTCCGAGAAAGCCGTCGTGTTGTTTTTGATTATAATCCTACGAAATTACCTACTGCTCGGCTCCTAAATACGGCCGAATATTTGAGACGCCCATGGGCGGTGGGCACATTTCTCCGACAGAATGACTCGGCACTCTAGACTTACCCAACACACCCATGCCGGCCGCGGGGCTTAACGTACAGATTTCAGCCTAACCGACTGATCTGGTAAACACCCGATTCCGGAAAAAAATCGCCCTTAAACACCAGAAACCTCTGTGTTTTTGTTTTAAAACCAAGGTACGTCTTAAATCCCGCGCCCGGCTAGCATATTGCGATATCCTGTATTTGCAAATCACTTATGCACAAGGTCGTACTTGGAGTTGGGATCACGAATCATGTAATACGAGGCGTTCACAGGCGGAATGTGTGTTGCACATTTGCAGGGTCTGACATCTGACATCCGCGCTGGAGAGCCTAAACTTGCTGATGTCCTTCGTTCGATTCGGGCAGTTGGTTTCTTGGGTGTACTGTCTGGCTTAGTAAACAATTGTTTTAGCTCGTCTGACAGCCCGTGATTTTCATGATAGTGCTACAACTAAGAATAGTTAATAGTGTCCACGTTGGGGATCGTGAGTGGAGCCTTTCAACCCTGGCATTTTCCGAAATGCCTAATATAGGGGCCTTAAGAATTGGAGTAGGGTTTCGGGGCCCATTCTCCTATAATTATAATAAGGACCCCACCCCCCCCAAAAAAAAAAGAAGTATAGGTAATTATCAAGGCCCCTACATTACACCCAGACTGCTTCCAAACACACGCGCCCGAATCCTCACCCTGCCAGACTTTGTGGACTCTTCTGTGCCTTGTAATGTAGGGGCTTAAAATAATTACCACTACTATTTTGATTTAGGGGCTCCTTATTATTATAAGTGTAGTATTATAGACCCCCAAACCCTAGTCTAATTATTATTAAGTTCCATCATATTGGGGATCCTACTCATTTCAGGTATATTCCTTAATTAAGGGGTTTTGGAGTCTTTGAGTTCCTGGCTCCGAGGGGAGAGGCAGAGCAGCTCTTTCGACTAGAGCGGATGGCCGCCGAGCAGGACAGCAGCGTGCGGAGTGTTCTTGCTAACTTCTGTGAGTATTATTGCTCTTTGGCTTGCCTGTGTTGTTTATGACTCGTATTTTCCTTTTTGATTCTTCTGGCCGTGGTGTCGTCACGGATGATGTCATTACTATAGGAGCCTAAATAATTACCAGCACTATTTGGGGTTCCTTCTTATGGTTATAGTATAATATACACCAAAACCCTATTCCAATCGTCAAGGCTTCTACATTATCTATTTGCTCTGCTCTTACATCGACATCATCCCCGTTCTTGCGACGCGGTCGTGCTTGTCGAGGATCAGAATGGCCATAGTAGAAGCCAGAACAGTTGTCCTAAACCCTAAACCCTAAACCCAAGCATACTTTAACGATGTAGCCCTACATCCGATCTTCGCCATTAAGGCCCCTATGTCGCCCTTGTATAGCAGGCCTTTGGAAGAACCTTTCAACGGAACCCTACTGTAGTGGCCCTAACAATTAGAACAGGATTTTGGAGCCGATTATACTATAATTTTATTAAGGAGCCCCAAAATAGTAGAGGTAATTATTCAGGCCCCTATGGTACTCGAGCTATGAAGGCCGCTACAGTGTTGGAAATGTGGAAGGATCAAAGGTGGCCGCAGAACAGGAAGCTCGCCGGTGTACAGCCTGGTGATGATGGTGATACAGAAGAAGATGATGATGAGGTTTGGGGTTTACGCTTGAGGGATGATTGATTACGCCGACGGTCCTGATGGTGGTGGTGCTAGATGACTCATGGCTACTATTGATTGTCTTGCGGTTCCTCCACGGGTCATTAAGTTCACAAGCTTACGGCAAAAGAGGACACAGCGATCGCCCGATTGAAGCAGAAAGTGCGAGAGTCGCGCTCTTAGGTTGGGCTTCTGTGCTTCGATGCCGAAGCCTTGATCTTGAGAGGACTTACAAGTAATATAGGGGCCTAAACAATTGCTGATACTATTTTGGGGCCTCCTTATTGGGGTATAGTATAATGTACCCCCAAAACCCTGTGTTCTTCATTGAGTGAGGTTGCTAAGCTTCACAAGAAATTGCTTGTTTGTTAAAGTAGCTTTACTTTTGAAGGTCCTTACTGGAGTAGGCTCACTGATATGCTAGATTCGTCAATCGCATTGGCCAGGGAAAGCAACTCTACAACGCGTCGGTAAATAAAGTAGTTTCCTATGCGCACTTGCATATGTTCAACCCTGATAAGACAGTAGTTGAATCTGGAATGAGGAGAAATACAGGCGATGAGAAATCTGGGCTTGCTAGCTGGTGGCTGCTCGGAAAGCCGAAACCGAACCCTAACACCACCTTAATTTACGGATAGGAATATTTAGTAACAAATCCCTTGACACCCCTGTATAGTTTTGAAGCCCTATTCCAATTGTCAAGGCCTCTACTGGTATCCCATGTAGTAAACTCTCATAGACCTATAAGACTAGAACCCGGAAAGGAACCCTTCGCAGAACCAATCCGCAAGTCCTCAAATGCACGAGGTTGCGAGCCCTCGTGGCTGCAGCACCAAGTGCCGGGGCGTGGTGCCTGCTCATTTGACGATGAAGGGCTCTTGTTAAGGATTCCTAAATTCAAGCTACTAGAATAGAGGAACCGTATGTTTGACTGCAGATCGCTATTATGGAAACTAAAACAAACTCCTTAACAGGAAACCTAAACCCTAAGCCTCAAACCCCAACTGCTTTGGAGAGTCGGTTCCAGCAGTTCCTTCCCTTTATCTGCAGAATCGCTGCCGCGATTAGGGTTTATGGGGTTTAGGGGGTTTAGGAGGTTTAGGGTTTTCAGGGTTTTCGTCATCATTTTCTGCTATCTGCACACCCACCGGAGCCCACATCATTTAGCCGGAGGGCAGTGGGAGGTTAGGGTGTCGCAAGACATGGGGTTGCAGGGATTTCGGGCCCCAAAGCACGTCTTTGTATTTCTTCCGTTCAATTTTCTTGCCACCTTAGGGCAGTTGAATTGCGTAGGTGTAGTCCCCAATCAAGACACAACATTCTATGGAGTTTAGGGAGTTCATGGTTTAGGGTTTAGGGGAAGGGCCTGATGTGCGTATATTCGCAGAGACACTTGGATCAAGACGTTCTGCACACCGGCCAGCCCAGCTGCCTGAAATTTCCTTGCAGCGGCGTGGCGGCAACCTTTTGGACGTGCTGCTCTTCTGCTGTTGTTTGTTCCAGGATGCAGCCCGGACATTCAAGCCTACACTACTACTACTACTACTACTCCCCCTCCTCCTGCTGCTGCTGCTGCTGTTGCTGCTGCTGCTGCTACTGCTACTACTACTACTACTACTACTACTACTACTACTACTACTACTACACTACTACTACTGCTACTGCTCCACCCTAGATTGTGCTCCCAGCTGACGAGTTGCATCGATGCTACATCTGACCGCTGCCGTCCCTGGGATGATCATGCTGAACTGTTTACCTGACCTTTTCCTATGCACTTTGCCACTCGTGACGAAGCTCGAACCCTGGTGCGCACAACAGTTGAGGGTTACCAACGTGCAACCGGCGACGCAAATCGGCGACCTAGTTCCTGTCGCAACGTGACCCACCTGACCGCAGCACAAGAAACCGAACTACCAGCGCGACCACCACAACCACGATTACAGCCAGAACCACTAGGTACCACAGGTAACACCAATTTCACCACTATGACCAATAACACCAAGTACCGCCAACATCGCCCGTACCGCCAGGACCACCAGTACCAACTCCACAACTGCTACCACCACTGCAGCGACGAACACGACGACGGCGACGACGACAACCACTGACACGATTGCTAATAGCCAGCCAGCTATTGCACATAGCAAAGTAATAGGAATCATGGCCATACATGAAACTCGGACAGGCTACATGCTGCTTAGTCATGCCTGACAGAAGCGCGCGCGAGTTTGCATAGGAATCATCAGCATGTCAAGCAGTCCAAAAACTAATTAGGAGGAACAGCGAAGCCTAAATGATTCCCACAAGTATTCTCTCTTTAGGGCACAGCTTTCCAACAGGCCATGTCCAGCATGGACCACATCAAGGAGCCTCGGATGCCAACATGCTTTGGCCTTCTTGATGTCAGGGGCTGATCTCTGGTGTTGTGGTCTTGTCTGGTCCTGGTGCATCATATGCCCCGAAACCCTGAACCTCAACGCGTAGCCGCTAGCCCTTGCTTGCTTACGGCTTCAACGAAAGCTTGCCAAGTCAGGAGCCGATCTACGTGGACGCACCGTTCAGTGCGAAGTACCCACTTCCACATGCCCATCCGTGCTCCTGGGACGTGGTGGAATGTCACGGGTATATGATTTAGGCTTAGGGTTCACGGTTTCGGGTTTATTAGGGTTTATGGTTCAAGCTTTATGTGCAGTTTAGGTTTAGGATTGGGGAAGCAGGCCTTTGTAACCCATCGGCTCAATACAGGGTGCTTGTTTCAGTCAAGAGCGAGAGCGTAGATTATCTTGAAGTTGAGTTGGTCTCGCTGCTGGCTGCTGCTACTGCGGCTAGTCACCAGAGTGGCTGCAACATCCTGTGCAACTGCTACCACTGCTACTTTGGCTTCGGCAATTGCGACGATGATGTGACGACTTTGTGGAGGAGGAGGAGGACGACGACGCCGAAAACGACGGTTCATGCTGTTGCTGCTCCACTACTTCTAGTGATGCTAGTGTTAGCAGCCATCAAGAGACAATGCGAGCAGTTCACCCAGAAAATATTGGCCATATCATCGCCGCCCCCCTCCTCCTCCTCCCTCCTCCTCCTCCTCCTCCTCCTCCTAGTCCTCCTCCGCATGCGCATCCGCATCCGCATCCACATCCGCATCCGCATCCGCATCCGCATCCTCATCATCATCATCATCATCGTCATCACCATCATCATCATCATCATCAGCATCATCATCATCAGCATCACCATCGTCGTCATCTTCTTTATCATCATCATCATCATCAGCATCGCCATCATCACCGTCATCATCATCATCATCATCATCATCATCATTGTCAGCATCGCCATCATCACCGTCATCATCGGCATTGTCTTCATCATCATCGTCACCATCATCTTCATCAGCACCATCATCATCACCATTTCCATTGTCACCGTCTTCATCATCTCCATCTGCATCTCCATCTCCATCTTCATCTTCACCACCATCAGCATTATCACGACAATTATCATGAACGTCACCAGCATCACCATCATCTCCGCATGCTCATGTGCATCCTCGTAGCTCGAGTTCAATAACACGTGAACAGAATGCAGGCAAGGGGGCACGCCTTACGGAGTCAACCAAGAGCCCAGGTGCATGCTGTGTCCCTTTGCCGAAAATACGCGGCATACCGAAAGGCTCTGTGCCACTCCCTCCCGAGGCCAGGATTTCGGCTGTGAGGCACGGTTGAGTCCAGAGGGTTTCGAGTTCAGGCTTTGGGGTTTAGGGTTTAGGGCCCAGGGGTCGTGGTCACACGCCTTATTGCAGGCTACTTTGCAAGTTTCTGAAAGTGTGCTGGTCTAGTTCACGGCACGTTTCGGTGAGCCTCCGCAGACAAGATGAAAGTCCATAAGAGCCTGCCACAATGGCCTTCTTTCCAGCGCAAGCGAGGGCCATGCCAGCAAAATTCTTTTCAACATGCCAAGTAGTTTCTTGCTGCCTAGACTACGGAGAGTAGTTCTGACACCCGGCCTGGGGGCAGAACACACTTCTTCTGTTTGGGGTTTAGCGTCTAGGTTTTAGGGGAAAGCGTTGAATTTAGGGGCCTCCATTTTGGCCTTCCTTACTCTATTTATAGTATAATATACCCCAAAACCTTATTCTCATTATCGAGACCCCCCTGCACCCTAAACCCTAAACCCTAAACCCTAAACCCTACATTATAGGGTTTAGGGTTTAGGGATCGACCCAGGCTCGAGCGCAGTGGGACTCAGGGATCCCTGCAGTAATGTAGGGGCCTAAAAAATTACGTATACTATTTGGGGGTTCCTTCTTAGAAGTATAGTATAATATACCCCAAAGGTTCCTTGTTAGAAGTATAGTATAATATACCCCAAAGCCCTATTCTAATTATGAAGGCCCCTTTCTTGGATTGGATTTCTCATGAGGAGGCGAGGGACTTGCTGAAGCAGCTCGAGGGCACTTGGCAGCTCAGCCTGATGGGTGCAGCATCTCATCCTCAGCGTGCCTTAAGCTCGTCCCTTCATTTCAAGACGTCGTTCTCCAGCTCATGCTGCAGAAGGCTTGCGTTTCAGAGCCCCCTTTGGTGAGAGACTCATTTCCGCAGCGTTGGGAGAGAATTCCTAAACCCCTAAACCCTAAACCTGCATTCAGAAAAGAGGTGACAAACAAAAAACCTGCATTCAAGAGACGCCAGACCGACGAAAGTGCAACGCGGACTTCAGGAAGATCATGCCGTTGGATACACAGCCTGGGATGAACCTCCAGTACGAAGAGGCGCCGCCGAGTCTTAATTTTTATGATTTCACAGCCTTGTGTGTCCCAGAGTACTATATAGAGGCCTAAACCATTACCAGTACTGTTTTTTGTTGTATCTTATTATGATTCCTATTATTAGTATTACTATTCCTATTATTATTATTATTACTATTATTATTACTATTATTACTATGTATATTATGAAGGGGCCCAAACCCCTATTAGAAGTATTGAGGCCCTCTATTCGTCCGACCTGAGGCTTTCTTTCCCGAGGCACACATCGACTCATCGCATCCCTCCTCCAGGGGATCGGGTTTAGGGTTTAGGGTTTCCATTTTGCCTGGCGTCGGAGTCATAGGTTCTGAACCGTTAGAGCTCGAGATTGGTGGATAGCTGTAGATCAGCGGAGCTGCAGATGCT